TGAAGGAAAGATCCACTTTTAAAATCTTGTTTTTGAGAACTTGACCTTTTTTGTTACAAGTGACCTTGTCTGGAATGTCTGAAAAGTAGTTAATACTTTTTGGGGTTCTCTGTAATGAGTAAAACTGACTTCTTAAGCTACAGTATTGGCTATATATTTTTGTAAACTTACAAGGAAGGGCCTTCTATCCAGTCTTCACATGCACACACTCTGGTTCTAGGTCTTGGGAGCCATATTTTACATTTGCATGGGTAGATGCATGTACAGCTTAGTCAGCCTGCCAAAAGCACTTGCCTGAAATTGTTCCAGACTCTGGGAGAGAGCACAGAGACCTGTAAAGCAATTTCTTTGTTCCTCAGCCATAACTTAGCATCTGCTTTCAGCACAGCTGCTGTTTTACAGTGAGGTGGTGTTAGGGAGTGGCAGGAGAGTTTGAACCCTGCCTGTAAGGCAGGTATTGTTGGCCAAAGCTGGAGAGCTGAGAAGAGGCCTTCACTTGGTTCATAGGCCAACGTCTAACATGGATCAGACAAATTGTCCCTACACTCACCAAGCTTGGGGGACAACATTTGAGTGAAATGCTGTTTTGTGGGAAAACTGAAACTATTTTGTGTGTCTGTGTTGGGGTTGAGGTGGAAATTTCTCTGTAACACTGATGACAATATTCTAAGCTTTCCTTATCCTGAAAGGTAAATAACTTCAGACAAAGCTTTAATTTCTTTTGCACTTCTGTTTTGAGCTTGTAACTGGAAAAGCATGTCTTGCACTGTTCAGTCTCTCTGGTCACTTTAACCACCTCAGAGTTGTGTACAGTGATTATTCCCCTCCCCATCTGTATATTTTTGGAAACTTATACAAATACCATTGTCCTTGGTTTTGTTTTAATGTACTAAACTATGTAGCTTTATCATTTGACTTATGTTTTCTTTTTTTAAACTAGCTGCTGCTTTGGGTTTAGGTGGTTCTGAATTCAACTTGGGATGGCATGGAAGATGCAAATGCTGCGTTTGTAGCTGTTCACAATCTCAGTACTATGGGTTAAAGTGCAAGTTTCTCTTTCATTTTGTACAGCTGTCAGCATAACACAGTGGCTGTACTTAAAGCACCAAACAAACAAATCAGAAATTGTCTGGTCAAATGTTACATAATCACAGAAAATGGATGTTTTTCCTGAATTTTCAGCTACAGTTTTTACTTCTAAAACATATTGGCTCATAGCAGGAGTAGCGTTGCAAATGCCTAATGTTTCGCAGACATTTAGTATTCAAATAAACTTCTTGAATAGTTTGAGCCTTTTTTAAAAAAGGCATTTTTTCTTAAGCATCAAGGAAATTATAAAAGGTTATTTGAGGGAAGACTTAAACTATTAAAGGAGCATTGGCTGGTACTGGTTTTCTACAGCTCAGAATTTTTTTTACCATTAAGAATCTCTTTAAGATAGTTACCTGCTCTTCAGGTTAAAAATACTGGTATATACTTTAAAAAATAATTTTGAATCAAAGGGTCAGCATGACAGCTATAATTACTGTGTGACACAAATTCATTTAATGGTTATTCATGATGAAAAATTCCTGTAATGGACTATTTACCAGCTATTTGTGGTGAAATACTTCCAAACAAGTATAAACCTGTGAATTGCATTTACTGAAAAGGTTTATTCATACATCTCTGAATATCTTTCACCTTAGTTTCTTTATTAATTTCTAGAATATGCAAACAATTTCCCTCCACCCCCTTCACAATATACAAATAGTTTCAGGTTACTCAGGAGTAACATTTATTTATGTGTCGGGGAATCTCTAGCTCTGCGTAAACTGAGCTGGAAACAACAACAGCTTATTGGTACATGAAATGTTCTCTGTGAATGTGCCAAGTGCCTACTTGGAACCTTCAACTCAAGGAAGTGTCACGTGCTCCGAGTTTGCAGGTGCATCCTGATTATCCACGTGCTGAGGAGCACAGTAAAATGGAACAAGGCCCACGAAAAGTAACAGATACGTCACAGATGGTTACAAGGCAGCTCTGGAAATGCCATGGCAAAGGCACACCAATGTTTTGTGTTTCACTTCCCAGGGAGGGAGGCATCATATGGCTCTCCCTCTGGAATATACACCGCTGGCACAGACAGAATGGAGAAAACAGGATGAAGTAATAGTTTGGAGAAAATTAATTTCTGACACCGTATTGTCCCTTATTAAATAGAAAGTATGCATTTGCAACATGCTGATAAATTGCCTGGAGTAAAAACTAAATCACTTTTCATTCTAAATGTCTGTGCACCTTTACATGAGTGGGTGCATCGGCCTGGAGAAGTGTAATGTCTGTAGTGGTCAGTGATTGTATAATCTGTGAAAGGCAGGTGTGGTTTACAAAAGTACATGAAAAATTGTTTTATTTGCAGCCACTGTTTAGCTTTAGTATCAAGGGCTGACACTGAACAGCTCAGGGTTGACAGGGAAAGCAATTGTGTCTTTTATAGTTAGTTTCTTAAAATAACTTGAAACTACTAAGTCTGGTTTTCCTGCTTTTCTAAAAATAGCAGCTTGCCTTGAAAACTTTTTTTGTCATAGTAGGGTTGAAGACTCTTTTTTACAAATTTATGTATCTAGTGAACATGGCAAAAATGGGATCAGAAATGCTTTTTTGAGGGAAAAGCTGTTTGCAACCAGGTCTTGCTTCCCAAATGGAACAGCTTGTATGTAAAAGGAGTATGCAAGCACCTTCCAAGCAAGGGCTAATGGATGTCATAGGTGGAAGGAGGAAAGACTACCTGCTTAACAAGATAAATTTCACAGAATAAAGAACAGGTAGAAACAAATGGAACTTCTTCAATTCCTGATATTTGCTCAGCATCGCACATCAATCACTGAAGTTCATTAATGTTACAAGGATGCCTGTGAATAATTTCTTAACGTAAAAGGTAAGAGAGAACTGAACAGAAACTTAGTTGCTTTCACTGAGATCTAAGGGGGAGCACTAAGATTGCCTGAAGAATTTTCAACATTAAGAGCTTCTTGGAAACAGGATGACGTAGGATATAGTCGAATGTGTCGTGAGACAGGAGATGGCTGCCTGATTTCTTGGTGTTCCTGGTGGTATTAAGAAGGTAACTGGCAAATTACAGTGGTAGATGGTTATTTCATTCATAAGTTAATTCCGTTTGGACTATTTTACAGCAACATTTCTGCTAGGTGTCAGCTGTTCTGATACTCTCCAATTGCATTCCTGTGCTGCTTTGCACCATACCTGGACCAGCTTGCTTCTCCATGTGCTCTCTGCTCTTGCAGTTGTCCTTCCTGGATCTCACCTTCCTCATTGGGCAGGGATGCACTGCTGGCTTTGGTTTACATGTAACTGAACATTCTAGGATTTTTGTTCTAGCTTTGTGCCAGCTGAAGGCACACTAGATACTGGATGTCTTTTTCTTTGGAAAGGAAAATGTCAGCTAGAAAAACTGTTAGCTTGCTGAAGACCTTATAAATCTGGATTTGTTACACAGACTGTTTAAAGCAGAAAGACCCAGTGAGTAAACAGGAAAGACACTTTGCTCTCCGGTACACTTGGGCAATTAAATTTTCCAAAACTTTCCTGTTTAATATTTTTCTTAGTCTTTTAAGCCTTGTTTAGCTGTTCTGGAATGTTTAGTTTATAAATCCAGGCTCTTCTATTTAGTGGCCCTACTGAAATTTGTGACCATTTACAAACCTATATGCATTTGCAGCGCTGTAAACCTGCCTCCCCCAATGCTCCTGTTGGCCGAGCTGCAACCTCTCTCATCAGCTGACGCATTCCTCCTCTTGGCAGGATCCTTCCCAAGGGTGAGAAGGTCTTTAGCGCAGTGATGGATAGCAGTGCTAATATTTGAACTACAAGAAGGGAACACTTTCAGAAATGTTACTCACAGTGTTTGGAGTGCAGCTGAGTGGAACACGGGTGACCCTGGCAATTCTGCACGGGCAGCTCAAAGGCTCTTCCTGGTTTATTGTGAAACGGTCACTGACCGAGAAGTAAACCTTGCAAGGTCACAGTGCCTGGATGAAATCTAAACATCTGGTTTGCCTCCTACGCTGCACCAGTCCTCACGGAGTCTGCAGAATTCAGATCCTGTGGCTAAGGAGGGAAAAGCTGTGCACGAACTTTTCCGTGTCTCATCCACTTGTTCCGTTTCTCCCTTCTAATTCCCATCCTAATATGCACAGGTTAAAAATGCACGCAAACAAAACTATTCACAAAGGTGTTATGTTTCTTGGATCCTGTGCTTTGTACATTATTTAGATTGCAAATATTGTCAAGTAGAGATTGTATTTCCCCTTCATGAACCCAGTTGCACATGGGGCTTTTAGCAGCCAGTATGCATTAGCCCTTTTTATTAATTATTACAAATAAATTTTAAGTGATGCAACATAAACCTTGATATACTAATAGTACATTAACAGATAAGGTGTAATTTAATTTGTGATAACTTTCTCTGCTGTTTTTGTTATTATTACTCATGTAGAGTATTTTGAGTGGATTTTCAATCTACTGATTTAGATTATTTTGGGTGGACAAATGAAATCCCAAGCAAGTAGTCATGCAACTTCTATATTAAATAATTTTTGTAAACTGAACTTCCCGAAGTCAACATTATATAAGAAATATATGCAGGGACGGATTAAATGAAGGTCAGTTCTTACAGAGGAGTTTGTCAGTGAAGTTCTTAGAATATCTTACCACAGAAAGAGACCTTGGCGCAGGCGTTTTGAATAGTAGTTAAATACCTTTAGGCAGGGGTCTTTAAGCACGGGGTTAAACCACGACAGCAGTACCGATTTTGGACAGATGACGGCTGTTCCTTACAACCTCCTTCCCTTCCCGGCGGTGCCGCTGTGAGGGGTCGCTCCCGCGGGCTGAGGGAGCCCCCCCCGGCCCCTCAGGGCGCCAGCAGGGGGCGCCTCCCCGTCGGGAGCGCGCCTGACAGCGGGCGGCGGCCAATGGGGGGCGAGGGCGGGGCGGGGGGCGTGTCCGCGAGCCACCTCCGCGGCGCTATAAAGTGCGGTGCCGGGGGCGTCGCGGAGCGGGCGTGACGGGCGGGTGTGAGGGGGTGCATCGCTGCCGCCATGGGGAACACCGTGGCCAGAGAGGATTTCGAGTGGGTCTACACGGACCAGCCCCACGCCGACCGCCGCAAGGAGATCTTGGGTGAGGAGCCGCGGTGCCGCCGCGTCTTGCCGCCGGCTACGTGGCGGAGCCGGGAGGGGGGGCACACACGGGCACCCCACAAAATGGCCGCCCGCGCCGGGGGGCGGCGGGGCCCGCGGGGGGCTCCCGGCGGGAAGAACGGAGCGGCCGGAGCCGGGCCGGGCCCGCGTACGTGGAGGCGGGAGCTGCCGCCTTGGCGGCGCTGGCGGGGGAGGGGAAGGGAAGGAGCGGGGGGAAGGAGGGAGGGGGAGGGCGGCGGCCGGGATTGTCTCCCGAGGGGCCGCCCCGCGGAGCCCTGCGAGCGGTCAGGCGGTGTGAGCACGGAGGTGACACCCCGCGCTCACGAGGGGGGATAACGGCGTCCCCGAGTGCCGCGCTTAATGCGGGGCTGAGCTCATTGCAGCCCTTCTGAGTCGCGGGTGGGTTATTCGGTTCAGGGCCATTTCCTTCCTGGGTAGGCTGGAGGTGACACTGGTGCTTGCCGTGTACGTGTCTAGTTGCTGAGCAACGCGAAAGTGTTAAAATGACTTGATTCCAAGTGAATCATTATAGCAGCAAATATCACAAGTGGGAAGGTCATGCGTTTTCATTACCTTTGCAGACAAATCCTAATTGGGAAGAAGGGAAGGAAAGGCTCTATCTGCTGTTGCAATCTAGTTGGGGTAGTTGGCTGTGAGGAGAGCTTCGAAGTAACTCCTTTTTCTTTCTCATCTAGCTAAACATCCAGAGATAAAAGCGTTGATGAAACCAGACTACAACCTGATCTGGGTGGTTGTGCTGATGGTTCTGGCGCAGTTGACTGCATTTTATCTAGTTAAAGACTTGGATTGGAAATGGGTAGTCTTCTGGGCATACGTGTTTGGAAGCTGTATTAGCCACTCCATGACTCTGGCTATTCATGAGATCTCTCACAATAGTGCCTTTGGCAACAGCAAAGCCATGTGGAATCGATGGTTTGGAATATTTGCCAACCTCCCTCTTGGTCTCCCATACTCCATATCCTTCAAGAGATACCACATGGATCATCATCGTTACTTGGGAGGTGATGGAATTGATGTGGACATTCCTACCAACTTCGAAGGCTGGTTTTTCTGCACCCCATTTAGGAAGTTCATGTGGATTGTTCTACAGCCTTTTTTCTATGCGATTAGACCACTCTGCATCAATCCCAAACCCATTACTCGACTTGAAGTAATCAATTTGTTGGCTCAGCTTTCCTTTGATGTTGTGATCTATTATTTATGGGGAGTCAAATCCATTTTTTACATGCTTGCTGGTTCAGTACTTGGACTTGGGTTGCATCCAATTTCAGGACACTTCATAGCTGAACATTACATGTTTTTAAAAGGACATGAGACCTATTCCTACTATGGGCCACTTAATTTGCTCACTTTTAATGTTGGCTATCACAATGAACATCATGACTTCCCCAATATTCCTGGCAAGAGCCTTCCATTGGTAAGTTTACTTCCAAGGTTTTTCTTAAATTAAGCTCTACTTTAACTTGAAAATCAGGTAGAACACTGACAGAAGAATGGAAGTTGGGAGATAAAAAACCAAACAAACAAAACAACCAATAACCAAAGAAAAAACACAACATGAGTGATAAAGAAGGTAATTACTTAGCATTTTAGTGGTATCTTCAATAAGCTTCCAGCGTGCTGACTGCCTCTTCCATAAAAGGAGAGGGGAGGAAAAGCATGTCTTATGCTTTGCACTAACTTTAGCTTCCTGTAATTACAACCTGTCTTCTGATTTCTTCGGTTTGTAAGTATGCAGAAAGCTAGTTAAGAAGTTGCAAATAACTTTGGATATTTGTTGTCTCTGCAGTCTTAAGGACAGTGTTGTAATGTGTACTTATCCTTTAGTGTCTCCTATCAGTGGCATTCTCTGCTGGGGGAAAGGAGAGGGTTTGAGATTGTTAATGTTTGTTGTACTGTTGACAAATGTTTAATAACTTTCCGGTCTGGAGCACCTCAGTTCCCTCTGGTAAGAGCCTTTGAACCCTAAATAAGTATCAGCTGACAGAATAATAAGTGTCATTGACAGAATTAAGGCTTCTGTGCCATGACTTAGACCTGTCATGTCTGCACGAGTAGCAGAGGTGAAGTTTCTTCTCACTTCAGTCTTTGTTTCTTAAAGGCAGGAGTTTTGTTCTCATTGTATATGTGTTTCCCAATTGGAGCACAAGCTTCAGGGGACATTAAATTTGCAATTGGACAGCAGCTGTGGTGTTTGCCTTGTAGCTTTGTTATTGCACTTGGCAATAGTAAGACCTTATGAGCTTGCCCCTTTAGTGGAGTCTAAACTTTTTATTTCTGTTGTCAGTGGTGGAACTGTAGGTGAAAGAAGTATGCCAGCACTTTTATCAGGGCAGGTAGATCATGTAATTGGTTTGAGGTTTTGTGTGTTTCTTGTTTTTAATGACAGATGATTGCTCTTATTCATAGATTTCATCTGTCAAAAACAGCAAAAGTTGCTTTAAATCATCTTTTATACTTAGGTCTGTGCTGGTGAACCAGAATTCCACTTCTTGCAGAGGTACTTCAGCTATAAATAGGCACGAATTTTTTCAAGTATTTAATTCCAGGGGTAAATACCCAGTTCTGCTGCAGGACTTGTAATCCACAGCTCTGATAAGAAAACAAAGCCTTCTTTTAGAACAGTGTAGTGAATCTGATTGGACTGGACTCTGCTATGCTGTGTGCTAAGATCCCTGAGATCCTGAACACTTGATCCCTCAGCACTAGTGAGCTGAGGAGTGTTACTGTTGAATAAAAGTATAGATACACTATTCTATAGGTGTGATGATGGATCCAAAGGCTCTTTGGCTTCAAACTAGGCATGTAAATACCTTGGGCTTGTTTGTTGCTTACACAGATTAATATTATTGTTCTGACTAAAGCTATGGAATTTTGTGAGAAATCCTTTTTTGTTCTGTTCAAGTTTTTAAGGCTTCAGGTGCTTGGCCTTAAATATCAGTAAGGACACCTAACTGAACCTGCTGCTCTCAGTTTAAAATAGTGGTCTAGTCAGCATGTACAGCTGAGAACAGTCTTTGGAAGCAGTTTATATTCATTCTTTAAAGTCTGTCTCCATAAAGGTTCCTCTGAAATAGAATTTTTTTTTTTCTTCTGAATGCTGAGGTTTGAAACTATATGTAAGAATAGCTGTGTTAAACATCTCTTCCTAGAACTCATAACATCCTTTTTTACTGGTACTCATATACCTATGAGTCAGCACTGAAGTGAGTCATCCCCTTTCAATAGCAACAAAACCACTTGCTTTTGAGAGCTTTATCATCCTGTGAGTAGCACAGTGAACAGACTTTGGAGTGCCAGAGGAGTTTGTTCTGGATATCTTCAAAAGCTGCACGTGGACTTTACGTAACAACTAGGGAATTGCTTTTTCCTTCAAGAAACATTCACACTGTGGCACCTGTGGCCCTTCCTGTGTCATCTGACATCTGAAGTGAAAGTGCTGTGCATTAGGTTACACATCGAGGTTACAATTTGCAAAGTTGTCACAAATTGTGCTAATATAACTGGTAAATAAACTTCATATCTCTTCTTCAGGTGAAGAAAATAGCGGCTGAATACTATGACAACCTGCCCCAATATAACTCTTGGATAAAAGTACTATATGACTTCGTGATGGATGACACAATCAGCCCCTATTCACGCATGAAAAGGCAATTAAAGGGTGAAGTGAAGCAAGATTAAACTTCTGGCAACCAAAAAACTTTGAAATGTCTGCTTGCTTTAAAGTGGCTGGTATAAAGGTCTCTTGCTAAAGCTGTTCACCTGTGTCCTGAATTAAGATGTACAGCAACATAGCAATGCATCCTTAAGGACTTTGTAGCAGACTCCTACCAGCTATAACATTCCTCACAGTCCTCAGAATTGTTGGTTTAATGTGTCTCTGTTTGCCTAAGGATCAGTGTTATATGCATAATGCAAAATCACTTTGTTACAGAATTTACTTTGCTAGGTGTTAAATTGATATAAAATATGTCTGACTCATAATATTTTAAAAGTTCCCAATGTAGTATACTGCCCTCAACATGCTATTTAGATGACTGTAGTTTTAAAAGGCTGTACTTACCTGTTAATTCTGAACTAACATAATTTGTTAACTTAAACCTTCTGTTGAAAATGTTTCCAAACTTATGGTTGGAAGAGCTAAATTTGCACAGAAATGTTAAGTCTGCTTTTGTTTAAATATGTAATATGTCATTTGAAGCATTGCTTTAAAGTTTTAGCTTTTCTACTTAAAGTACCTTAAAGGAGCAATCTATCAGAATGAAACCAGTATCCTCGAGATGGCTTCTGTGACTTCTTTGTTGGGGAAAAAAAAAAAAAAGAAGTGGGGAATTCAAGGGTATTGCCAACTCTGTGGTCCCCCTTACTGCCTGAGCTGCTTATGTTGGCATATAGTGTGAGCAGGTGGCATTTAGGAAACTTAAAATAACTGATTTGGGTTTTCACGTTGGAAAAATCGTTACAGTTTGAGGTTTCTCTCACCTTCAAAGAAAAATGATTACCATGTTACCATGGTTTTTAAATGCCATAAATATTTACACTCATTTGGAAATCTGGCTTGTATGGAAAATGGAATAGACTGAAACTGATATTGTTCTGACAAACAAGGCTTGCTACAACCACTGTCAATTTTACCTATTGAGCATATTAGTAATTTATGTTACGCAGAAAGGTGTTGTTAAATAATCTTGTTTGGTTTTTTCCTCATAAACCTACAGTACCCTTCATAAATACTTGTCTTTCTTACATATTAAAATGTGGTGAGAAGTGGTCATATCAAATTCCCTGCTTAAGAAGTTTTTAATTGGGAACAGAGAATGGATAGCCTTGCTGAAAACCGAGGAATCTCTCCATACCTCAGCACAGTAGATTTGCCTTCTACCATCTAATGCATTGATGATGGCTTTAAGCAGTTAAAGGTGGCTACAAATCACCCTTAAATCTCAAATGGTCATTCAGGTTAGTGAAGAACATACCACAGAAAGATGGAATCTGAAGAAGGTGGAATTTGTAGCCGCTGGTCTGCTGCAAGTAACTTAATTTTAGATGCCTTCAACGCTTGCATTTTGGTGTGGGTTTTTTAGGGTGTTTGTTTTTCGTGAGGATTTTTGGTTTTTTTTTTTTTTTTTTTTTTTTTTTGGGGTTTTTTTTTTTTTTTTTTTTTTTTTTGTTTTTTTTTTTGGTTTTTTTTTTTTTGGGTTTTTTTTTTTTTTTTGTTTTTTTTTGGTTTGTTTTTTTTTTTTGAAGAAGGTGAGTGCTTGAAAAGAATGTGTTGGTACATCTTAATCTCTGTTGTATTGTTGGTCCTGTTCTTAATGTGTGTTTTGTTTATGGGCCCTCGCCTGTGGCTAAGCAATAGAAATGGAATGAAAGTATGCCAACCACTTCCAAAGTGACTTCATTGTGCCAGGAACATGAGAGATAGCCAGCATATTGCTCAGGGTAGAGTGTAATGTCAAAATATACGTTGTCCAGTATTTTTACATGTAATTAAAAAGCAAAGATTAAAGTAATATTGGGTGAATTTTTGATTGGTCCCCTTATGCTGAAAGACTTAAACTTTAGAAAAAATTTGGTATTTTTAAAGCAGATTCAAGACCTGTTTTACTGAGTGGTGGTATAGATGAACTATAAAGAATTGCTGCCTTTCCTCAGGAAAACTGACTTTGGTTGAAATACTTGTATAGGCTTAACAAGTTGCAAACTGGTTTCTTTTTAAGCCACTTAATTTAAGAAAAGGGTGAGATTAACTATCTCTCTTGAGGAATTATCGTAGGTGGACGAAGGATGGAAATCGTCTCCAAAATTTTTATGGCTAAGAGCTAAAGTTAAGAAATTCAGCTATCCTACATGAATACTTAAGATAACCAGAGTTCAGAGTCAAAATTTTATAGCTACTTAGTTACCTATGTTGTGGAATCACTGATGCTCCTTTCTGTCCCCCCAGTGGGTAGTGCAAGTGTAAATTCCTGCTTTTAATCAGGACTGAAGTTGCCATGTCTCGTTTAAAATTGCAAATGTTGCTTTAAGGTGTTCTGACTATGCTATTCTCTTCCAACTCCCATTATAAACACAGTTTTTCACTTCAAGAGGTGCAGAATAGTGGGGAATTCTGAGGGAGATATCTATGCTTGCCATAATCTTTCTGAAACATCTGCCACTGGCTACCTATTGGAGAACACTTACTGGATTAGGTTAATCTGAGCCAGTAAGACTTAAATTTGGATCTAAACAATGGTCCAATTCTTGCAAGCATTGGTAAATACCATTCTTAGGCATATAATTCCTGTGTAATATGCAAGAGGCCTTGGCATCCAACTTCAGTAGTCAGGATTTTGCCAAAAGCAGATCATCTGAAAGTTAACCTACACTGCAGCATAGTTTCATCCCTAAAACACAGAGTTAGAGGCACTTCTGAACCACTGGTGAAAGTAATTAAGAACATCTGGGCTACTTGATTTGTGTTTGATATATTCTAAATGTACAGCTGGTTTCATCCAGTCATACTTAAATGTGGGGTTTACTCCAGTGCCATGGCAGAGAACTAAGAAACACTAAAATTTTTTAAGAATATACATACATCATTAGTTATTGGTTTTTAAGGAAATAAATAGTCTTCATTAATACAATTAAAATAGATAAGGCAGAAACAGGTTAGTATAATTTTTGAAACATTTTATCTGAAAGCTGGAGGGAGCCTTGACTAACCGATGAAGGACAAATTAAACCTAAAGAGCAGTAAGAACCCTGACAGTTAACCCAATTACAATTTTTTCTAAATCTATTCAGATGGAATGAGTTAACTTTGTTTCTACTTGCCTGTTGGGGTTTGTTCCTTTCTGTGTAACTAAAGCATCTCAGTTTGGCAAACATCTCCTTTATGTGAAATCGGCCAGGAGTTCAATTGTCATCCGAGTATTTTAGCTGCAGTTAAATTGGGCAGAGCCCTGAATCCCCTTTAGGGCTTTCAGAGTAACTTGTAGTTTTCAGAGTAAACTTCCTTGCACAGCTTTTAACACTCCCTGCCCCCAATTTTTTGAAGTTGCTTAAGTGGAATAAGTTGTGTGTCCTGGAATCTAATTGTACTAGGCATTAGTTTTCCCACAGGACAGGCGTGGGTATATCCCTCTTTCAAAACAACTCTTGCCTCTGGCATTCTTGTTTGGCTGTTGAACCTGTCTGCTCCCCATCAGTGGCCAATTAACATGTGTGAAATGGGTTTCTGGCTGCAGATCTCTGTGCTTTCAGATCCCTGGCAAGACTTCCCACCTGGCACTAGAGGTCAGTTGAAAACTAGTTAAGATTTTCAGTTGTGTGTCTCAGAATTCTTCCGGTGATGTCTTTAAATGTAGCTGGTGAGCACATAACACGCACATAAAAGTCTACAAGTGTTGCAAAATGTATCTGTTCTAGGTAAGTGGCCACTGCCAGACTATGAGGTCACTGATTCACCTCTGCCTCCTTGACTTTTTACTCCCCGTATCACATGAAGAGGCATGTCGCAGGAGAGCTTAAAGCTGTTCATTCCTTATTTAATGATGAAGTTCAACAACCAATAAACATCAGTGCTGTAGACTGCAGGCTGCCATGCTAATCCTGCTGGACAAGCAGGAGAAAAGTCACTTCCCAACAGCAATCTTGTCTAAGTAGTCTGACACAGCTTCTGGGAAGTGTACTCCTTTGTAATTTGAAAGTCTCAAAAGACTTATGGCAAAGCAAGCTCTGCTGTTTTAGCTCACACTGCAAGGCACAGGAGCCACTTCTGGGTCTGCCAACGTTGCTTTTGTAAGATCCTAGGAAAAATCTGATAAATAGGTGTGGCTAAATCATGTGCCTTTAGCACAGTAACCTGCAACTCAGCACACAGTTCTCTTCTGTAGCAAATCTTCCATTTCACAATGAAGCCTGAAGTGGTACACAAGACTTTAGTCAGAACAAAGGTGTGGGAAAAGTTTCCTATTGAGCCAAGAATGAAGGCAGATTTTTTTTTTCTCCTGTTGACAGTTCTCTGCACTACCTCTAACCCCTATCCATGCTTAAGTTAGCACCTACTCTGCTCTGGGACAAGATCATTATTGTGGTTTAGATATGTTGCTAGCCTCAGGAAAAGGGAGGGGAGAGTGGCATGATGAACAATTCCGTGATCTTGTCACAACAGAAACAAGATGACTAGAAGCAAAACCTCTAGGCATGTCTGCTGGGAGGGGTGGTAGCTGCATATGCAGAACAAAATATTTGTCTCTATTCCGTAAAAAGGCTCAGTTCCTTAAAGCAGCTCCCATTTTCTGTGTACAAAGGATCTCTTCTGTACAAAGGATCATTGTTTTTTAGTGATACATACTATAGCCCAAGCAGAATTTCCCACAAGAAAAAGTAGCAGTGTGGGTGCACTGCTCCTGTGAACAAACAGTTCAGTCTTTGCTCCTTGATGCACACACAGCCCAGGCAAGGCAAGCAAACAGGATATGGACACTTTACTCATCTGGCCTTTTCTGGCTTTCAACTTGACTTCAGGTTTTCCTGAAAATTCAAACCCTCCTGTACCCCACTTCCCCTTCCATTATCGCCTGTTAAGAAAGAAGAATGATCATGAGACTCCTTGAATATTAAACATGTTTTGTGTTGGAACTCTTGACAAGACTAAAATTGTTATTATGATTCCTTGAACAGTATTTCCTTCTTTCTTGCTCCATATATACACAGGAATAATACCATCATGAGAGTAAAGGAAAATTTTTAAGTGAATATGCCAGGGCTTGAGAACTTCATTCCTTCCTAAGCTCATCAACTGTAGCTATCCTCAAATATGGTAGTAGGAATCCTCTATATATATCCATAAAGGAGAAATCATTGATTCCTTTGTATTATTATGAGCAAAGGCTGAGAAAACTGCGTTTGTTCAGCCTTGAGATAAGAAAGCTTAAGGGAGATCTTACCACTATGTTCCAGGGGTGGCTACAAAGAAGATGGAGATTCTCTTTTTACAAGGAGTCACATGGAAAAGAGGAGGGGTAATGGGTGCAAAGTTACTCCTGGGGAGCCTCCAATTGGAAATGAGGAAAACTATTCCAATAGCTGATGGTTTCAGTGTGAAAAATCTCAGGAAAAGTGGTAGATTCCCCAGTGTCGGACTTGTAAGATGCAGCTGGACAGGGTGCTGGGCCATCTTGTCTAGCCTGTGCTTTTGTCAAGAAAGGCTGGACCAGACGATCCTTGAGATCCCCTTCCAACCCTGCTATTGACTGAAAATGATAATTCTCCATCTTGGGTTTCTGGGAATCATAGTAATTCCTGAAGCCCCAAGCCTGATCTACAATTAAAAGCAGACATGTCATCTTCTGCTTTATATACAGGGACTTAATTTGTTAGTCATAGGAGCCAGAATTTGAGTCACTGAGGCTCCAGCTTCCCTGGGAGAGGGAGGGAATGTCACACCATGTTGAGCAAAAATTACACTGCTAAGTTCAAGCTGCCATGAGTGTCAGTATTTTTAAAATGCAAGTCTGTGGGGATTAGTTATGTGTAATAGCCTTCCACATATACTTTTGGGGG